TGCATTAAACTGTGCATTATATCCATCAATGATGTCGCCAAGCTGAAGTACACAACATGGTGCGCTGCTTTCTTTATTCCAGTCGTCAATAGCATTCTGTAAGTGAAGAAGACTCTGTCTGTAGTATCTCCGTCTGTTTCTGTAGAAATTATAGCCATCTTCTAAATCAGCATATTGAATATCTGCTATGACTCCAAAGGAGAAGAGAAGTTCTGAACTCTCATTTTGGGTTCCAGGATTGAGCTTATCATCCATAATTTTCAACTCTAGTGAAAAAAGAGAAACAAGTTGTAAATTTCTTAATTTTCTAAATGGACTGAAGAAAACAGTAAAGTTAATATTAGAACAATTCAAAAGGTAGCATGATATAAAAAAGAGTACAAGGGCTTTTGGGTATGTGGATTTTACCAAATCTTCAGTATTTTTCAGATTCTCATCTGTAAAATAAGTAATTCCTACCAATTTTCAAATTACTCTCTATTAGTAGTCAGAATCTAGTAACATCAAATTCCGATAGTTTTTAATTTTAAAGAAACATTCATTAGCTTAAATATACACTTATACATTTGCACCTTCTTTATAATATGAAAACAATTCTATGAAACTTTTGATACTAATGTTGGAGGAACTGGACACTGGTTGAGGGTGTAATATTAGAATACTGATCGTATACATGAAACTCTATCATTAACTGTATTGTAAATCATGGTACTTTGTGTGTATGTATATCCCATGTCGCAAAGCATCCTATATGGTCCCCTGAGCACCACCAGGAGTAATTCCTGAGTGCAGAGCCAGGAGTAACCCCTAAGCATCGCAAGGTGTGACCAAAAAAAGCAAAATTAAAATAAAATAAATTTTCTACATAACGTCACATACAAAAAAGCAGACAGCCAGCATTTTATGAAAACCATCTTAGGCATTAGTGAGTTTTTTGTTTTGTTTTAGGGCCATACCCAGCTGTGAAACTGAACCCTACCCACTGTACTATCTCTCTGGCCCCGTATCAGTGATTTATTTTGTTTAGGGGCTGTATCAATGGTGCTCATGGGCTACTCCCAGCTCGGTGCTTGGGAGCTGCTCCTACCAGTGCTTGCAGGGACCAGGTGTTAAAAGGGATCGAACCCATGCCTCCTGAGAGAATGCAATGCTGCTTGAGCCCTGCTGTGGTGGGGCTGGAAGGTGGGGTCTTGGGTGTGGTGCTTAGGGATCTCCAGGGCTGTATGTTGTGTTGCTTGGGGGACTATGTAGTACTAAGACTCAACCTGAGTCAGGTGCTTACGAGCCATAAGCCCTAACCACTGTACTATTCCCCAGTCCCTGTGTTAGTGTATTTGACAAAAGAAAGAAGGGATGCATAACTTCTGAAAACTGGCAACAACATGGTACTGAAAACACTGTGGAAATTAAGATTGGAAGCCCTCCAGTATCTATGATGAAGGGAGACTGGAAAGAATTGAAAGAATAATTCTTTCACACTCTTGTCAAAGGGAGAAAAAGTGAGAAGCAAAACATGTGGTCATTACTTAGGAGCTCAGTTAAGGGAAACTACTGAAATAGACAAATGCGCAAAGCCTCCTCAGAAATGTTTTAAGAAAGGGATGGGTGAACAAAATCTGGCTGCTACTCTAGCCTTACACTCCTGATAAAAATACCGAATGCCCTGAACAAACATCATGACCGCTTAGCACCTATATTGCAAACCATAATGCACAAAAGGGAAAGGAGAGAGAGCAAGAAAGAAAGAGCCTCCCATAGAAGGCAGCTGGGGGTGGGGGATGGGGTGTTGGGAGGGGAAATGGGACATTGGTGGTAGGAAATGTCCACTGGTGGAGAGATGGGTATTAGATCATTGTGTGCCTGAAACCCAATCATGAACAGCTTGAACCCAATCATGAACAGCTTTGTAATGGTCTATCTCATGGATATTCAATATAAAATTTTTTTAAACTATTATTTCTTCAGAGGAGGGAGTTGGGGAGGCATCTGTTGCGGTGTTTCCTAGAACTCCCAAATGCTCTTCCCCTGGTTTCCCGGGCTCACTGGAGCCGTCTTCCGTCTGGAGACTGACGCCTGCCACAATCACAACCACCACTGGTAAATTTGGGGAGCTAAGAGTGGTTTCATACAGGGGCCGAAGCGATAGTACAGTGGGTAGGGCTCTTGCTCACATGCAGCCGGCCTAGGTTCAATCCTCTGCATCCCATATAGTCCCCTGAGCATCTCCAATGAGTGATTCCTGAGAGCAGAGCCAAGAGTAAGCCTTGAGTACCCCCGAGTATGGCCCCAAAACAAAACAAAAAAGTGGTGGCATACATGTCTGAGGGTTGCCTGTGTCTAATCTGTAAACCTGGATTACGAATCGGAACTCCCCGATTGCACCTCGGAAACCCAGCTCAGAACTCCTGGATTACCTTTAATAACCCCGGCTCAGAACCGGTCTTTTGGGTATTCACAAGTCTATAGGGTATTCGCACCCTGCTGCTCTTTTTAGGAAATGTAGTCTGGGTATTCTCAAGCTCCGAGTCGCTGACTGGGGGACGCTTAAGAGTACAACTCTCAAGAATCACCGGAACTGGTCCAGTGCTGCAGAGGTCCCGCCTCGCATCCCATTGGGCAGGTCACTCCCCCGGGTCTTGGGGTCGCCTTGGGTGAGGGAGTATAACACCAAACATCAGCCAAGGGGCACAAATAAATGCTAACCGACTTCGACCATGAGTGTGGAAAGGTCGGATTACAACTGAATCTCACAAAGACAATGTCATGAGAAACAGTCTTGATTCTCAACGGAACCACCATCTCCAAATGCAACAGTTATATATACCTAGGTCGAGAAATCAACATGATGAATGACCTGGCACCTGAGTTGCGCAGGAGGAAGAGAGCGGCTTGGAATGCCTTCGAGAGCATTGAAAAAATAACTAAAAGGACAAAGAACCTTCAGCTATGAGCACATCTCTTTGATTCCACTATTCTTCCTGCATTAACATATGCCTCAGAGACCTGGACCCTACGAAAACAGGATGAGAATGCTATTCGGGTCTCTCAAAGAGGAATCGAAAGAACTATGCTTGGAATATCACGATTCACTCAAATGAGAGATAGAATCCGGAGTTCTGATCTTCGTCAACGCTCAAGAATCAGGGACGCTGTCTCATTTGCCAAGACATCAAAAATCAGATGGGCTGGACACGTAATGAGGTTTACAGACAACTGCTGGACTAGAGCCATTACTGATTGGATTCCACGGGACATCAAAAGATCACGTGGACGCCCACCTATAAGATGGTCAGACTTCTTCCTCAAGACCCTAAATGATCAGTTTGAGGCTCTGCATGTTCCTAGAACGAACAGATACCATTGGGCTACGCTAGCACGCAACCGGGATGAATGGAGACGTTACTGGCACCCACTCAAGTAAATCGATGAGTAACAGGGTATCAAGTGATCAAGTGATTATTTCTTCAGACAATATTTTATTTCTTCCTGAAACTGTGTATCCTGTATTGCAATTCTTTAGTTCCAAACAACACATTGCTTCTTATTTCAGCCTTTTTTAAAAAGAACTTTGATAGTACAAAGGTTAAGGCCCTTGCCTTCACACACACCAGTTCCAGCTAGAGCCAGGTGTGAACCCTGAGCAGAGCTGAGACAAAGCCCTGAGCACTCTTGGTTGTTTCCCAAAGAGCCAAGCTGGAGGGGAGGGAGGACTGGCGACTGCAATCTGGGACACAAGGTCACTTGGAACTGTTCTTCAAAATGAGTGGCAAGAAAGGTTTCTTTTAAAGAAAACAAAAATGATGCCTGTTGTTTGGAATCATTATGATCGGTGCTATCAATAGCGGTAAAAAACGCAAGTTGGGTAGGAAAAGTCCCCAAAAGTCCAGTGAGTAACTTGCAGGAAATGTCATGTTCCAGGACGACTGGCTTTGTGGGTGGTTTTATGTGACTCCACACACAACCAACAACAACATCAACAACAACAGCAACAAAACGCTCATTTCTTAATGATGTTAACTCCCATTAAGACAGGAGGGGAAAAATTCCATTTCAGATTTTTTTCCTTGAAAGATTTCATCATACTACTAATTGGCTATGAGAAGCAGTCGTGGCTGGTCCTCTGAGCGCGGGAGAAAACGTCCAGAACCCTGTTCAGGTCCAGCAGGAGAGAAACGACACAGACTCTCGGCAGGGAGCTTCTGAGCTAGAGCTCAGAGAGGAAGGATCGGAGGAGGAAACGCTTCTCTGTCCTGGGAACCTGCTGGGGAGAGGGGAAGCGCGGGGGGCCAGACGGGCCGGGGACAGTCTCGGGAGCCCGTGGCCAGCGCCCTGGCCGCTCGGGGGAGGCCGGCGGGGACAGTCCGGGAGGCCCGGGCGCCTCACGGGTCGGCGCTGGCCCTCCCGACCCGTGACCGGGTCGCGGCTCCCCGAGGCCGAGAGTCACCCCAGGGCCTGCAGGGCCGGCTCGGAAGTGGCGGGGCCAAGGCTGTTGCGGCCAGTCCCGGGCCAGTCGCACACGGAGGCCCGCCCGCTCCCCGCCGCCCGTGAGCGCCGCGCTCCGGTCCGGCGCGTCCGTGTTCCACCCAACGGGTACCTACCGCGCCCGCTCCGGACACGGCGCAGCCAGCGAGCCGAGCGGCTAGAGAAGCCCTCTACCCCGCCAGCTTCCCAGCCAAGGACGCCCCACCAGCGAGCCGAGCGGCTAGAGAGGACGGCCGAGCTTACCGGCGAGCCAAAGAGATAGAGATTCCCTCTACCGCGCCGGCTCCGGAGCCGCAGTGGCGCCACCGGCGTGCCGAGCGGATAGAGCTGCCGCGCCAGCTCCGGAGCTACGACGGAGTCACCAACAAGCCTAGTGGCTAGAGAGTCCCCCGGATTAAGGCTGCGGCGTCACCAGCGAGCCGAGTGGCTAGAGAGTCCCCCGGATTTCCGGAAAGCGCGGAAGCGGCGCCGGAAGTCGCGGGCTGGCCCTGGTGGACCGGCTTCCGCTGTCCTATGGTGCCATGCCGTCTCCGTGCATCGCGCGGCTCTGTCTCCTGTCCTGCCATCTCGGGCGGTGGGGCCCCAGGCAGGCCTCCGCCAGGGCCTGGCTCGCGGGGCGAGAAAGGGCGGCGTGGGCGCCCCGGCCCTGCAGCCGCTCGCTAGCCACAGACTCGCCGCCGCCGGGGCGGCCCAGGGGACCCTCCAAGCCCGGGGTGAGTCACCCGCGTTTGGGTTCCCGGCCGCCCCCGTGAGAGTGTCGCACTCCCTCAGGGCCGCCCCATGGTGGGGCCCCGCTCGCTCAGGGCGCGGCTGGAGGGTGGGCGCGGTGAGAGGGTCCCGCTCCCTAAAGGCAGCCCAATGAAAGGGTCCTGCTCCCACAGGGCGCGGCTGGCGAGTGTACCCGGTGCAAAGGTCCCGCTCCCTCGGGGTGCCGTGTGGTGGCCGGAGTCGCGTGGCACTCGCTGGACCCACCTCTTGGCTTCCCCGTTCGGGTCTGCTTTTCCCTTTGGTTTCTGTGCGACTGTTTCCAAGCCGAGGTAGGAGGAGCCGGAGTGCCGAGTGGGCGATGCCTCCCGTTACCCTGGTGACGGAGAGGAGCAGCACCTCGGGGGTGCTAGTGAGGCGATGCAGAGTGTGATAGATGCCGTGACTCGGAACTTGGAGAATTCAACGACCACGAAATGCCACGAAGTGCAGGGACTTTGCATTTAGACGTCTCTTTCATTTTGATTTTCTTCTTGGAAGATTTAGGTTAATCACCATGCAGCAGTAGGGCGTTTGCCTTGCCACCGCCCGGCCAACATAAGGTCACCAAGTCCGGTTCAATTCCTCCGGCCCAGCCCCTCTCGGAGACCCCCGCAAGCTACTGAGAGTATCTCGCCAACAGGGCAAAGCCCCGTTAAGCTCCCCGTGGGGTATTCGATGTGCCAAATACAGTAACAGCGAGTCTCACCATGGAGCTGTCACTGGGCCCGCTGGAGCAAATCGATGAACAAGGGGAGGACAGATCAGGATTAATATCAGCATAGGGTTTAAATCGGCATTTGGGGTTAGAGGTGCCTGTTAGTAGCTTGCTGCTTGAGCTTTGAGTCCCCTTATTGCATGAAAAAGAAATGGGAACTTTCTCCTGGAAATAAGTGCCTTTGTTAGTCGGTTCGTGCCAGGAGCTACAGATGCCACAGCATCCACAGAAACGGGGTCAGCGGCTCAGTACAACGGCCGGAGAACTCAGGACTTGGTGCTCATGAGGGCCGTCCTGTGCTGGGCATATTCAGGCCACCCAGGGACAGTGCTAGAAGACAGTAAAGAGCAGCCCAGGAGAAGGTCTGGGGACTTGGGGCAGGAGCCACAGCCCAGAATTTTCACCTCTTAAAAGATGATAATGCTTCACAGCATTTTATACATGTAATAAGATCAAGGCTTGTCTTTATGTTCAAAAGTACTGTAATAAAATAAACGTGGTTAAATGTTTTCTTTTTTTTTTTTTATTTTCACTTTTCTGCACCAGTAGCCAGTTTCTTGGAAATCTTTAGCGATTACATTTGCTGTTGGAGGAGCCGTATTGGCTGGAATGAAGTACCTCAAGAAAGAAAAAACCGAGAGTAAGTAGATACACTTCACCTCTTGAGTAACATCCTTCCTGGCTATGTACTAGCTTTTTTTTTTTTAACTTTATATCTTGAAATAAATATGTATTTAATAGAGTTGTAGAGATGGCATAGTTTATTTATACCTTTCTCTTAGGTTCTTCTAATTGTAACCACTTGTATGACCCATGGTTCATTTTTCAGCATGGTTAAAATTGGTACAGTGCCACTAACTATAAGCTTTATTTGGGTTTCATTTACTTTTCCATTAATGACGTCTCTAGTTCAGAATTCAATCTAGGTATCACTGTTCAACAATACTAAAAGACATCACAGACAGATTTGTATGAGGGCATTACAAAGTTTGAGGGTACAAACATGGCTAAGATGGGTTCAGTCACTGCAGGAAATTATACAGAGAAATGTATAATTTCTGTATTACGTCAGGTTCTGCTAAGCTGGAGGGAAGTTCAGGGTATTTTAACATCCAAAGACCTTTGGAATTTGGGGGAATTTCTAGTGCTTAATACTGAGTCAGTAGAGGGAAAGGCCACTGACCGTTCAGAAGCGGTGAGAGCCTGGCAGGATCTGGAACAACTAGATTAGCACTTCTTAAAGTGCTAATTCCTTATTCATAAAAAATACGTTAGCGAGTATTTCAGGACTGCAGGATTTGATTTAAAAGTTCTCAACAGAGTTTTGCAAAAATATGTTTCAAACTTTTATCTCTTGATGTCATTTGTAATGGGTGTTTAACTCTAAGAATGAGAATTCATGGCCTATAGAACTGATTCAGTATAATCTATTGGTATGTACATAATTTGTGTTCAATGGCCTGGAGTGTCTATCGATAAAATTTTCATATTCCACTAAGCAATTTAGATCTTTTAGCTTCACGAAGAAAACCAAAACTGGGAAAGCAGTGGCAAAGACAGTTATAGAATATGCAACGTTCTCTTGACATTAATTTGGCATTAATTTGGAAATTTACCTTCCATGTCTCCCAATACTTTATTTTCTATAAACAAGAACATTCTCCAACATAATTAAAATAGTTAAAATGAGAAAATTGATACTTATATATTGCTACCTTTAGACTACATTGACTTTTTTCATTTTGTTTTCATTTATAGCAAAGAGATGGAGTTCAGAACCCTTTTTAGCATATTCTTTAGTTTTCTTCAACCTATAACTTTATCAGCCTTTGGGTAACATTTTTGAACATTATAAGGAATATTTTGTAAAGTACCTATCAAGTTTGCATTTGTCTGATGTTTTCTTACAATTCAGGTTATTTTATTTTCAGCTGGAATGTCACAAAAATGATGCCATGTTCTCATTGGATAGAGACAGATGTGACATGATTCCAGTTTCTCTTGTGCCATTCATTTTAGTTTTTGATTAAGGTGTTGTGGATCAGACTTCCCCACCAAAACATAATGTGTATTTTGCGATGCATCTTTACGTAGTATAACTATTACTTATTACTGTTATGTAGATATTTTTCATCAAACTATGCCAGAATGAATTCATGACTTCCTTTATTTTCAGTGAATTTGGATGCTCACATTGCCCCAGATTGATCAGTAGAAACCTTTTAATGGTACTTGTTTACTTTTGATGTATTCTTTTGAGGTTTTTTTTTTTCTTTATGGGGTCACATCTGGTGATGCTCAGGGGTTACTCTTGGCTTTGCACTCAGAAATTATTCCTGGCATTGCTCAGGGAACCGTATGGGATGCTTGGAATTCAACCCAGGTTGGCCGCAGGCAAAAACCTTACCCGCTGTACTAGCATTCTGACCTCTTGAGTTATTTCTTATTTCTGGGAAGTGTTTTGAGGTCATTTCTACCCAAGCCCTAATATTACCATTTATCCCTTCTTTTGGGGCAGGCAGGGGACATTTGGGGGTCACATACAGTGGTGCTCAGAGGCTGTTCCCAGTTTTGTACTCAGGTATGGGGTGAAAGCAGGCATCTAAACTGGGTTACCACATGCAAGTCAAGTACCCTAACCCCTTTATTACTCCTCCAGACAGGTCCCCAAGCCCTAATTTGTTTTACTTGGAAGATGTTATTTAAAAGTCAATCTATAAATAGACTCATTGCTATTGGGGTTTGTTTGTTCATAGATACAGATAATCGAAATGGAAGTAGATGTGTGTAATATGTTTCTGGATATACATTAAAGCCATGCATTTATACTGTTACTTAAATTTTCTTTCCAGTACTACAGGGTTTATTTTTCATGCTATCATTTTTATTTTCATTTGTAAGCTCTTTACTTTGAATGTACTTACCTGATTTTCTGCTGTTTGTAACTAAGACTTTCGTCTCCCAGTGGAATTTTTTTAGCATATGGTGGCTTAGCTTCTCAAAACAGGTCACCCAGCTAAGCTCAGACGCTACTCTGTTTTGTCCTCAGTCTCTCCATAATCACAGCTATTGTTTGGACAGAAACGATCCTAAATAAAACAACTATTTTTACTACTATTTTTGTGAAGTTCTTTCTTCATACCACATCATTTAGTTTTATTTTATTGCTCTATGCTTTTCTTCAAAGTTTTGTGAGCATCTTAAAAACTGGTGATTTCTTCTATACTTTGTGCCTTCAAAATACATTATTGACCTTATATCATGCAGATCGCAGATATGTCTGGTTAGATTGACTTACCTTGCGTGTGTGTATGTGTGTCTGTTTTGTCTTTTTAAGGGTTGGAAAAGCAGAGGCAGAGAAGCATTGGAAAACCTTTACTTGGCGGCCCATTTTCCCTCACAACTCATCTTGGAGAACCTAAAACTGATAAAGATTACCTGGGACAATGGGTATTGATATATTTTGGTTTCACTCATTGCCCTGATGTTTGCCCAGAAGAACTAGAAAAAATGATTCAAGTTGTGGATGAAATAGGTATGAAAACCATGAAAGTGTATGTTTAACATTCTTAATGTTGCTGTATTTTATTTTTATATTCTTGTATTGTTGTTAAATGAAGTATTATAATTATTTGACTTCAGAATTATTTTGAAAATAATTTGAATATCAGATTATTTCAAAATTTGATTTGTGATAACATTAAGTCTCAACCTTAGATAAGAAAAGGTGAAATCTTGCTATCTGCTACAACTTGGATGGAACTAGAGGTTGTCATATGAAGTGAATTGTGTCAGAGAGAAAGAATACTGGCTAATATCACTATATAGAGAAAGAGAATAAGGCAACAGATAATTAACTAATGAGAACAATTCTCTGACCTTCGATTGCAAAACACAACTAAGTAGTGTGGAGAGGGGAAGAAAAGGAAAAAGGACTAGAGGTCACAAAAATGAGAGTGGAGGGTTTGGGGGCATTGAATTATTTTTCAGATCAGCTATAGATTGGTTTATTGCTTTGATTCTTACTGTTTTCCCACCAAAGCTCTTCATGATCCATGTTAGAGTGCTAAAAGGGTAATTGTATTCTGGGTTTCCATTAACTGATCATTGGTCCCTTTATTGTAACCTTACATTATGACATTGCCCTTCCCCATTCTCTGGTGACTGTGATGGTTAGACTGGAAGGTCTATGGTGTGATATGGAACACAGTCGTCAGTATTTATTGGTGCAGTGAGAAGGAATACTTTGCCCTTCTCCGAGGTGTGGCAGGGTGAGGACTGTAAACATGAGTTGATTAAGAGGTAATATGACGTGGGCCAGGTGACAATGTATGCCTTGTATGGTATAGACACTTGTTAGGCTAGAGACCAAGAAATCTACTCTTTCTGGAGGCTGTGCTACCCCTTCCCCATCACCTGACATCAGTGTCAGATGTCACTTTGTTTCCTTGACAATTTAGCATAAACATCTATATTCATAATTGCTGGTTTTCTTTGCCTTTCTCTTTTTTTTTTTGTAAATTTATTGAATTAGCGTGAGAACAGTTACAAAGCTTTCAAGTTAAAGTCTCAGGCATAAAGTCTCAACCTTTTATACGAAAAGATGAAATCTTGCTATGTGCTACAACTTGGATGGAACTAGAGGTTGTCATATGAAGTGAATTGTGTCAATGATCAAACACCCATCCATTCACCAGTGCATGTTTTCCACCACCAAGAATCCCAGTATACCCTCCATCCCACCCTTCCCCCTGCCTGTGAGGCAGATGATTTCCACTTAACACTCTCTCTCTACTTTGATTACATTCATTATTTCGACAAAAGATGCAGCACTGTTATTTGGAATTTTCCCCAACGATCAGACCTGCTGAAAAGGCATCATGAAATAATTTGTTTTCTGTTGCTGGTTATAAAGAGTTTATGATGTTGTGTGGCCGCAGTAGTGGCTGCACGATTTTGGATTTCTGATATTTTACTAATTAAGTCTGGAGGGATTTCTGCCAAAAGCCACATAGTTGTCTCTGGGTCCATGGCCATGCTGGAGAGCTGCTTGTGTGTGTGTGTGTGAGTTGTGGGGGGGGGGGGGGGGCTCGTGATCTCGGCAGGGTGGGAAAGATGTGCTGGTTCCATCCCCATCTCATGAAGCTGCAGTTGCCCATCACTACCTGCTCGTACCTGGCTGTACAGTAGGCTCTGAGGCTGTGGCCACTGTGCTGCGCGGGGGGGGGGGGAGGCAGAAGAGACACACACCCTTTGCCTGGGGGGGGGGGTGCATGTGGGGGGCAGTGTGGCACTGTAGCTTAATGCATAGTCCATTCACATAGCTGCCAAAAGCTGCGGGGTTCCATATTAGGTCCATGTGCCTCTGGTCCATGGCCGTGCCAGAGAGCCGCTCATGGGGGTCAACTCGTGGTCTTAGAGGGACGGGAAGCTCTCTTTCTCTTTAGATGTGATTACTAACTGAGAACTTCCTTTCAGATAGTATTCCTACTCTGCCAAATTTAACTCCACTTTTCATCACTATTGATCCAGAGAGGGATACAAAAGAAGCCATTGCAAATTATGTGAAAGGTATGTTTTACTAATCATAGCTTATGTTTATTTTTATATGTATGTTTTAATAATTTTTGTGAGGGATCCAATTATAGTTGAACCTTATAGTGCCTTGTGAACTAGGGAGGACAAAAGGTATTTTGTACAGAGAATTGAAAAAATGTTTCTGGACCAGTAATGTAGCTCAACAGTAGGTTAAAAACAACGATTTTTCAGTTCCAGGTGCAGTGCTCTTTTGTTATATTTTTTTTGGGGGGTCACACCTGGCGATGCACAGGGGTTACTCCTGGCTCTGCACTCAGGAATTACCCCTGACAGTGCTCAGGGGATCATATGGGATGCTGGGAATCGAACCCGTGTTGGCCGCGTGCAAGGCAAGTGCCCTACCCGCTGTGCTATTGCTCCAGCCCTGCAGTGCTCTTTTAAATGTGTAACAGGAATTACTGAACTTGACATCAGTTTAATGCAACTATGGAACTCTTTGCTTCTTCCAGGTCTATACCAGCCCTTTGACAAACACATTTTGGGAGTATTACGTTGTAGAACAACTCATGGCATGTATTTCAAAATCCAAAACATTAATGATAGAAACATTTTTATAACTATCAGCATACGAATTTCTATTCAAACTGGACTGGAGAAATAGCACAGTGGGTAGTGCGTTTGCCTTGTACACGGCCAACCCAGGTTCAATTCCCAGCATCCCATAGTGTCCCACGAGCACCGCCAGAAGTAATTCCTGAGTGCAGAGCCAGGAGTAAACTCTGTGCAATGCTGATGTGATCCAATAAGTTAAAAAAAAAAAATTTCAATTCAAACATCTTAACAAGTTAAAAGTCATTACAAGGTTTTTAAAATACTAAATTATGGTAGGTTAGGGTAAATGCTAAATTGAGTGAGAGTTAAGTTCTTAAGAGTTTGGACCAGTTGCTTAGTTTCTTTGGATTCAGGTTTTTCCTCCTGAAAGATGTGATGAAAGTAAAAATCTGATCATACAGGTTTTGTGTTATATTTGTGTCTTAGAAATCTGAAACCCAACCTCAAAAATTTGTAAGTCTACAACTGTGCCTCATGGTGTTTCACTAATAAAAAAAATAAATAAATAAATAAACAAACAAACAGTAAAAATGCCACAAAAAAAAAAGGTTTGAGGGGCTGGAGAGATAGTATAGCAGGTAAGTCACTTGCCTTATAAGCAACTGACCCAGGTTCAAGCCACATACCCCGTATAACAAAAGGAACACTGTGTCCTCCATCATTTTCATTTATAATAAGCAAAAAAAGAAATCAATGATTGAATTAAGTATTACTGAAATACTGAGCCTGCCAGGATTGAGGCACAGCCAGGTGTGGCCCCAAAATAGAAAACAATGATTTGAGAACCAAACAGATAACTCAGAGGGCTGAGCAGTCTTATTTGCAGAGGCCTGGATTCTGTCCTTGACACCTGGTTCCCTGAGCACAGACTTGGCAGTAAGTCCAAAGTGTCACCAGGTGTGGCCAGAAACAAAAACATAAAATTCAATGACTAAGACATTGATCGGAAAAAAGCAATGAATAGATTATTTTTGCAAATTTTAATTCATATCTTGCAATACTTGGAGGGTTTGTCTTCCCTTCCTTGGTTTTGGACCACAGTTAGTGGTGCTCAGGGTTTATTTCCAGCTCTGCGCTCAGGTATCCCTCCTGGCGGAGCTATGTGATTCATATAGGGGTGCTAGGGATTGAACCCAGCTCAGACACATGCAAGACCAGTGCTCAGTCAGGTGTACTGACTCTCTGGCCCCCTTTGAAATGATTTTTAAAATGTATTTATGTGGGACATTTTCGTATTTACAAATGTATTATATATTAGATATACAGTAAAATGTAAAATTTACAGTTTGCAATTTGTTACTTCTTGACATTTTGCACCTGCGAAACCACTACCACAATATAAAAGTAATGCAACTATCACTTTTGTACCCTCCTGCCTCACTTTAGTGGTCTCTTATTCCCAGACAGTCACTGATTTCTGACTGTGCAGTCATTTGCATTTTCTAGATGCTTGTGTTTGAAAGATTATATGGTGTGTATTCTTTATTAATTTTTTGGTATTTGAACGACAGTCATTGCTGCTCAGGGCCTGTAACTTTGACTGTGTTCAGCCAGGTTAGCTGCAGAGTGAGAGATGTAGTGGTTTGTCCAAGTAGCTAGCTTTGACAGCCCAGAACAAAAGGCTGTCTCGCCTTTTTTATTAGTGTCTAGAGCCCCCTCATCCCTGTCAAACACACAAGTTCGGTATGAGTTAGTACATAGAACAAGGGTAAAATGTCAACATAGCTCTGGGAATGGGGGATGTATGATCAACACTATTACGTGTAGTCGTGATCTGACCATAGTAATTAATGTATACGCAAAACAGTAATTTTGAGATTAGGGGAATGTTCTACTCTTCTTGGTAGGATTATCCCTTCCAGGCTTTCTGTGTTGAGATGCCTGTAAATTTTTCTAAGCGTGGACTTTCCTTGTGGGATGTTTCTTGCTTCACCACACTTTTGAAGCTCTAGAGACCTTGGCTTAAGCTTGCTTTACTCAGTATACTGATCATATCCTAATGCCTGCATTTGTAGGCAATATCCCATAGACTTCTGGATCTGTGCTCAGGAATCACTCCTGGCAGTGATTGGTGTACCATATTTCTTTTTTTTTTTGGATCACACCTGACAATGTTCTGGGGTTACTCCTGGCTTTGCACTCAGGAATCACTCCTGGCACTGTTCGGGAGACCATATGGGATGCCGGGGATCAAACCCAGGTTGGCTGTGTGCAAGGCTGTACTATCACTCCTGCCCCATGTCCATCCATTTATAAGTGGATTTCATAACTTCATCTTTCCTAACAGCTGTGTAGTATTCCATTGCGTAGGTGTACCATAGTTTCTTTAACCGGTTGTCTGTTCTTGGTCACATGAGTTGTTTCCAAATTCTGGTTATTGTAAATTGTGCTGCATCAGACATGGAAGTGCAGATGGCATTTCTGTTGTGTGTTTTTGGGCCTCTGGGCACTTGTAAATCATCAACAATTTATCGAAAACTTAGAGATGAAATGAAGAGACACAATAAATGATATGGAAAAAATGCTTCCATCACTTACCATCAGGGAAATGCAAATCCAAACAAGATGCTACCTCACATGGACTGTCATGCAGAACAAAGAACAGACACAACCAGTGTCTTTAGAAATATGGGGAGAAAGGAACCTTTATTCACTGCTGGTGGGAATGTCAGCTGGTTTAACCTCTGAAAATCAATATGACAGTCAAAAAACTAAGAATTAAGTTTCCATACGACCCCGAGATTCCACTTCTTGGCATCTGCCTGAGGGTTCAAAAACTATTCCTAAAAGACATTTGCATTCCTATGTTCATTTCAGCACTATTCACAATAGCTAGACGGTACAGTTTTTAAGAACAGGTGACTGGGTAAACTGGAATTTTTTTTTTTACAGATTAATTTGTTTTTAATAAAGGAGAATTTTATTAGTTCTGTAGGAATTTCATTCCCTTCAAATCACAAGAAAGTCCAAAAACATTAAATAGAGCTGCTTGATGATGATGCTTTTAAAGGTAAGAATGGGTTTGTGGTGTATTTGATTTGCTCCCCCTTTTTTCATTTTCAAATTTTTTATTTTTTTTATTTCAGAGTTTTCTCCCAAACTGGTTGGCCTGACTGGGACCAAAGGAGAGATAGATCAGGTCGCCAGAGCATATAGAGTTTATTATAGCCCTGGGCCCAAGGATGAAGATGAGGACTACATAGTAAGTAAATGCTCTCAGATTTTTATTTCTTATCTCTTACACTTAGCCGACCACAATTCAATCCCTGGTACACATGTGGTCCCGCAAGCAATACCAGGAGTGATCTGAGGTCAGAACCAGGAATAAGCGTTGTGCACTGCCAGGTGTGGGCCCAACACCTTCCCTCAAAAATAAGGCAATTAGGATATTTGAAATGGTAGTGGAAATAAAAATTTTAAGGATACTTGTTTAATTTGTATTTGATGTTCTTAAAATTGAGTTTCTTATTTGATTTTTTCATAGTAGCACTGTCCTCCCGTTCATTGATTTGCTCACGCAGGCACCAGTAACGTCTCCATTGTGAGACTTGTTACTGTTTTTTGGCATATTGAATATGCCACAGGGAGCTGCTTTGCACGACGGAGGCCTGGGTTTGATCCCCAGCACTATGTTGTCCCCTGTGCAGTGCTAGAGGGAACACTCAAGGGCAGATCTGGGAGTAACCCCTGAGCACAGCCAGGTAAGGTCCCAAGCCAAACAGAAACAACAGAATTACAGGGCAGTATCAAGTAATTAATTCAGTAGACTGAATTTTTATACTCTAGGTTAAAGGCGGAGTAATGTATATAATAAATGTTTTTTAATTAATATAAGCTTTACCTGTCATTTACAGGTAAAGCTTATATTAATTAAAAAACATTTATTATATCTCCAGTGAAGAAGTACAAGAAATAGCTCCTTTTGAGAAGCAGTATTAGGCCATGGGAAAATACATTTTGGAGTTGAGTAAGAGTTCTAAGCAAGAAAAATGAAGAAAGCTATAAGAAGGTAGTTTTTCCTATAAGGTTTAAAGGTAAAGGTAAAAAGGCCCTCCCGTTGATCGAGCGGGCCCAGTAACGTCTCCATTGGAGACTTTGTTGTTACTGTGTTTGTCGTATCGAATACGTCACGGGGAGCTTGCCAGGCTCTGCCGTGTGGGCAAGATACTCTCGGTAGCTTGCCGGGCTCTCTGAGAGGGGTGGAGGAATCGAACTCAGGTCGGCCATGTTGGCCGCTTGTAAGGCAAACGCCCTACCGCTGTGCTATCGCTCCAGCCCAGGTTTACTTTTTTTTTTTCAGCCACACCCGGTGGTGGTCAGGATTTACTCCTGGTTGTGCACTCAGGATCACTCCTGGCAGGCAGGGGGGGGGGGGGTGGGGGGGGTTCATATGTGGTACCAGTTCATCATGTGAAAAGCAAGTGCCCAGTTGTACTATTGCTTCAGCCCAAGACTTACTTCTTTATCACCTGTATGTTTTGCACCATGTATGTGTTCTTCTAGTACACATCCTAGACATCTTTATGAGAAATACTTATCTGTTGGGCTGGAGTGATAGCACAGTGGTAGGGTGTTTGCCTTGCGCACGGCCGGCACGGCCAACCCGATTTCAATTCCTCCGCCCCTCTCAGAGAGCTCAGCAAGCTACCGAGAGTATTTCGCCCGCACAGCAAAGCCTGGCAAGCTACCCGTGATGTATTCTATATGCCAAACACAGTAACAGCAAGTCTCACAATGGAGACGTTACTGGGCCTGCTCGAGCAAATCGATGAACAATGGGAGGACAGTGCTACTGATCTCCTGTCTTAGGAATATTTTTGACGGACCAGGAGATAGAATAGCCCTTAGGGTCCATGCCTGGGACATTCTTTTGTTTTATTTTTTTTTTTAAAACATTCAACTTTTATTGAATCCCTGTGAGATAAACCAAAGCTGCTCATGATTGGATTTCAGTCATACAGTATTCAAACACCATTGTACATTTGCCTGGGACATTATTATTATTATTATTATTATTATTATTATTATTATTATTATTATTATTGGGGCTGGAGTGATAGCACAGTGGTAGGGCGTTTGCCTTTCACGCAGCCAATATGACCGACCCGAGTTTGATTCCTCCTCCCCTCTCGGAGAGCCCAGCAAGCTACCGAGAGTATCTTGCCTGCACGGCAGAGCCTGGCAAGCTACCCGTGACGTATTGGATATGTCAAACACAGTAACAACAAGTCTCACGATGGAGACGTTACTGGGCCCGCTCAAGCAAATCGATGAACAATGGGACAACGGGAGGACCGTGACCGTGATTATTATTATTATTTTTCTTTTTGGGTCACACCTGGCAATGCACACAGGTTTTTCCTGGATCATGCACTCAGGAGTCTCTCCTGGCGTTGCTTGGGGGACCACATGGGATGCTGGGAATCGAGCCTGGGTCGGCTGCGTGCAAGGCAAACGCCCTACCCACTATGCTATCACTCCAGCCCCAAGCCTGGGACATTCTTGATCTGAGTCCAGAATCCAACACCACATTGTCTTAGCTTTGCTGTGTGCAGCCCTCACAGCCCCAGAGGCCTCTAACAGTGCCCTAGGTGATCCCTGATATTACGGGGATTCAAGCAGCAATGCATCTATAGGCCCCTGTGTGGAATCATACACCAGATTGACCAAGAATTTTTGAACCCTGGACCTCTTTGACACCTCTTATGTGACAAAAATAGATAAATGAAAAGTTGATCCTTTGATAAGCAGCTGCATTTATTGCTATACCTCTGGGTTTATTGCATTATCAACCAGTAGGGGGAGACATACTCCATCTTCCAAGGTGTTTGATTAGTATTCTTTCCCGTGAGGTCACAGATAAGTGAGAGACTTTTATTAAGATATCAGATCAGGATGGGAGATGTGTGCTGAAAGTAGATAAAGGACCAAACATGATAACCTCTCAGTATCTGCATTGCAAACCATAGTTCCCAAAAGTAGAGAGTATGGGGAATATTGTCTGCCATGGAGGCAGTGGGAGGGTGGGAACGGTGAGCCTGTACTGGGGATATTGGTGGTGGTGAATGTGCACTGATGGAGCAATCGGTGTTTGATCATTGTGTGATTGTAACTCAAACATGAAAGCTTATAACTGTATCTCACGGTAAATCAATAAAATTAAAAAAATAAAGATATAAGGGCCTGAAGGGAATGTTGAAGTGCATTAAAGGCTGAGATGTAGTGAATGAGGTTTTCTTAATCTGAAACAACAAAGATAAGCTTCACTTACAATGCTAATAGCCTTCAGATATATATGAGCCAGACATGTCAAATATTTGGAATTCCATTGAAAACTAAACGTGCAAGTTGTGACATTGTTTATGTACATATGACATTGCATATGTACTTTTACAATATATTTTTTAAAATACAAATTCAAACCTAAAGAAAAATGTGCTTGTTTTCCCTCATAATAAAAGAAATACATATTGTATACTTTGGTGCCATTTTTTATTTGTCCATGGTAAGTTTGAAATATACTGTAAAAATATTTGGAAAAGAGGAAATATACTTTTAGAACTACTACATTTTACAGATATTTTAAATTATTTGATAGAAAGTAAGCAATGTTATGAGCACTTTGATCCAGCACACTGAAATTCCATTATTATAAAGGGGGGGAGAGCGAGAGAGAGAGAGAGCAAGAGAGAGAGAGAGAGAGAGAGAGACAGAGAGAGAGAGAGAGAGAAGGAGTAGGAAGAAACTAGAGTAAAGCTTGAAGAGCAAACTTGAGACACAATTAGGACATATATATCAAATGTGTGGAGAAAAAGATCCCTGCACTAAAGTATTCCAAGACATAGGAAATTACCAGCTGTGTGATCTCTATACATTCATACATTCTTTTATCATGTGAATAGACAAATGACTCTTTCCATTTGCTTATTTTTTTAATGATAGTTTGTATATTTTAAAAAAAGAAAAACCAATAGAAATGTCACTAAAATAGTAGAGCACCTAATCTTCACGTGTGAAGTTCTAGATTCATTCTTTAACCACATTACCTGACTTCCAGCACTGGTGGGATTGTCCCCCACAACAGAAAGGTAGTAGCTATTCAGGTATATTTGTTGGCTGTTTCCATTTCAAAATATGTGTGCACATTCCTGTTTTTATTTTTAGCTTCTCAAACAGCAATCAAATAATGCAGTAAATTCCTAGGACTCAAGTGCCAAGTCTTTTGCACAGTTAAAATTGGATTTTACTGAAAGATGTAACCAAAAAAATCTTTAAATGTTGACTTATATACATTTAAATTAGAATTAAGGCATTTTAAGAACTTTGTCAGGAAAATGGATTTAAGATGACTTCCTAGCCTCAGATGAGTTGCTTCAGATGGGGTTGTTTTGAATAGTGTACAAAAATTTCCTAGAAGAGAGAAATATTTTGTTGGATATTTAGTTAGAATTAAATATTAAGCCATAATTTATACATTTTAAAACTTAGGAATTCTGGCTTTCCCTGGCAACTCTTAGCTGCAGTAAGTTCTCTACCCATAAACCAGTTTGGGTGCCCAGTTAATGGAGCACCTGGGACCCTGTTGTCTCTGCCTAAGTCCAGATAAATGAGAACTTTGATAAATTTGTTATGTCTCTGGATGACATTATCAAATTAAATCAAACGGAAGAAAGGAAACAACTTTTCAAGACTAAATAGGAGATTGCAGCAAAGTGGTTCCAGGCAATTCAGAATGGGAGTCCCCTGGAAAATCCAACAGAATGCTGGCTTTGGTAAGAATAGTATGAACCAAAAAAGAGTTATGTCTGGAAAAAGACCCCCTTACAGAGATATCATTGGCCTTGCAGCTAGGAAAGCAACTGGAATTTGGAAAGGAATTTGTCCTGTCAATTGACTACCTCTGAATGACAAGGATATAGAATATTTTCCAGTTTTAAAAAGGGAAGCAAGCCTTCTGGGACAAAGCGAAGTGCAAAAGAAACTAGTTGCAATTCTCAAAAGACTTAATCAGCTAAACAGGAAAAAAAATAAATTCCAGCCAATTTTATCGGGAGCGGAAATAAATTAAGTCATCAGAAAAACACCCATCAGCCAACTTTTCTTTTCAGATGAAGCCTGATCTGCCAAATGCTATAGTAGCAAAGAGAATTCATCAATGGCACTTGCACAGCTACCACAAACTGAGGAATAGATAAACCACAAGCTGAATCTGTTGGCAACACAAGAGCAGTGTGGTCCCTCCTACATCAGAAACCTCTACTAACTTGTACTGCAGTACCCTCACTCTTGATGAAACAGGAGAAATCTTATATAAAGAAAGTTCCTAGAGGTGATCCCTACAGTTTGGCAAATATTGTTGGAGAAAAGACAGGGGTGATTGACTGAATGATTTGGGATCCTAAAAGAACAGAGGGACTTTTGAGTAATGACTCAATTTTAAAAGTTAATTATTTGAAGAATTTATCACAAATTCAAGAAACTACTTGGAAAAAATGACAAACCTAAACAACTGTTATTCTTGTTACAGATTCCCTGGAAAAATAACAGGGAATTTGATACTTAGCTGTTCGTAAAGATTTCATGGTTGGTCCAGACAGAAATCTATGACTTCTTTGGATCCTCACGTAGCAGAGAGAAGACAGAGATAGAAAATTATTATTTTTATGACAGTGGTATTTAAAGTTTCATTGCCTTTGCCCATTTTTTATATTTTACCATGGTAAGTCTTAGTCTTCAGTATATGAGTAGGTCCCTTCGATGCTGTTACGGTGTTGATGTGTGGGTGAGCCTGGCAAGCTACCCATGATGTGTTCGATATGCCAAACACAGTAAGAACAAGTCTCACAATGGAGACGTTACTGGGCCCACTCCAGTAAATCGATGAACAACGGGAGGACAGTGCTACTACAGTGCTATGGTGTTGATGTAACAAGAGCTGTTGATTTTTCTTCATTGTAGAAAAAAATTATTTGCGTTACAGTCTGGGTGTTAAGACTTAATGTGAATATCTGGAACTTGGTTCTTTTTCAGATATGTTATTCCTCTAGAGTTGTAAATCTTTGTGCTGAAATTTTAACAAAAAATTTCACTCTGGGCATTAGACTTGTTCTAAAATGTTAGGATTGAGGACTGGAACTGCATTTTTATAAAGTTATTTGTGATCGGACTTTGGAGAGTGTTCTCCAGCATGTAAAAATATAATGGTGTATTTAATAAAAGAATGTATGAGAGAATGTAGCAGGTTGAAGATGGTGAAATGGAGGTGAAAATTTTAAAATACCTGGTCACAGGTATGCTGTTTGGATTTCTGAAGTGGTTAAATCTAATCCTTAATATCTGGTCTTTTGCCATTAAAACTGTTGATAAAGGATTACTGGAAGCCAGTCAACATAATTTGAAAATTCTAGTTTGACTCCATAAGCTAATACATTAGCAGATAGAAATGTTTACATTTGATCCATGAATAATAAATTTTGGACTAGTTTAAATTTACTGGTAGCCTATTTTATTTATTTTATTTTTTAATTAAAGAACTATGATTTACAAAGTTCAATGATAATTGAGTCTTAGGCTTATAGTACCTTAGCCCCAATCCATCCACCAGTGTCAACTTCCCTCTGACAGTCAGTCCGTCCACCAGTGTTAACTTCCCCTCTACCAGTGTTCCCATATTCCATCCCCACCCCAATTCCCACCCTCTCCCCGCCTCTTGCTTTGATAGGCACAGTACAGTGTTTTCAGTGGTTGTAGCTTAGATCTTACGTTTACAATTTTGTTACATGTTTTGGATATATGGCAATGCCACTCACCTGTGTCCAACTGGTAGCTATTTTGAAGCAAAGGAATAACAAGAGTTTGAGCTTACTGCATTGTGAAAATAAAATACTTAGATTTTTTTCACATTTTTGTTATGTTAAATATTATACAGAGTTGCTATTAAATGTCATTTTGTGGAAAATCTTAAAAGTTGCCCCAAATTTCAACAATATTAAGTGCATCAAACAATAAAGTATCTTTGGTTTATTAAACTTTCATTCCTAAAAAAAATTTTGGCAGTAGTTTTCAGGGGGGGTTTGCAAAACGTGTAACCAGGTAGATAAGTCAAAGGGCTAGAGCCATTCTTTGCATCTGGAGTCCCAGGTTTAGTTCTCAAGCATTTCAATTGTGGCCCAAAAAACAAAAACAAATTTAAAGAGTAATGGAAAACCTGAATACTGTTCCATTAGCCATACCTGTTACATTCAGCTTAGCAGCAACTACTTATTAAAAGTGGATAGTAGGGGGCACTGCTTGAGCCACACCTGGCCAGGCTCTGGGAACTGTCGTTTGGGATTGAGCAAGTGTCACATGTGCATTCCAAATGCCTCAACTGCTGTATTATCTCTTTAGTACGAAAGTAGATTCTTTCCTAACAGGTGTGTGAACTGGTATGCAAAGCATTAAACTAAGAATTTAAAGTTCTAACTAATGTTTCAAGCAACAGTTTAAATTTTAGGAGCATAGGAGGAGATTTTACATAATTTGTCCAGTGGATTTGTACTCACATGAATTTCTCTTAGTTGACTGTAGCATTTATTCAGAAAAATAAGTGACTAACTTTGGTAATCTTTTTGTCTGCAGGTGGATCATACAATAATAATGTACTTAATTGGACCAGACGGTGAATTTCTAGATTATTTTGGCCAGAACAAGAAGAATGCAGAAATAGCTGGCTCAATTGCTGCACACATGAGACAACATAGGAAAAAGAGCTAGCCGAAGTAGCATGGCTGGATACAGTTTTCTCTTGCAATAGAGGAAAGATGTTTTGTCTCCCATTGGAGTCAGCATAAATATATATTTATATATATATATGCATATACACACTATCTTCATACCATGAGAACGTCTATATATTTTGCATAGGACATGACCTTGAGGTAACCACAGTAGAGTCTTTGAACTGTAATGTTTGAAACTGAAAGTCTTCCTCCCAGACAGCTTACTTGAAAGGAGGGCCAAATTACTGTGAAACCTGAAGGAGTGAATCTTAGAGGAGATTCACTCATTTGGAGAGGCACGCCCTGTTGCATTTGAATTTTCCCAGTAAACAAGGTTCTCTGATCAGCATTGTTGTCTCTGGTGTCTTACCTTGCTCACACAAATTGTGGAACTGAAATTCTGGGAAGGGACAGTCATGGTGGGTAGTGGGTACTCCATTGGAGGTTGTAAGGAAGCTGTGCATGAAATTGTACCATTAATAGTATTGTCAACCACAGTGCCTAAAGTAAATTAATTTTTTTTAAAGTATAATTTCCACAATGCCCTCATTTTCCTTTTGGAGTTCTTGGTGGCTGATCAGTTAATTAAGACTTATCAGTTAGGGCTAAAAATTAGTCTGTATATTTGAAATCTTAAGTGTGGCCTACCTATGTGCTCTTTTGTCAATAAGTCTATTGAAAAAATAATAAAGAGGAAATCTATTGTTAAAAGCAACTACATCAATTTCTCTTGGAACATTTTGTATGATTTTTTTAATCAAATGATCTGCAAGGTTTTCAATATGATTCTGAATGGAAATATTGGAACGAATTGTGAGAGTGATAGAGTACTTTTGCCTGTGTGGGATTGTGCAGTTTGTGAAATAAAGGTGTATTCATCTTTACAGCTTGGTAAGTTTGACCTTTCACTTGGGTATCAAGCATATTGATAGTAGCTCACAGCTTAGGGACAGAGACTTGCAGACTCTAAGTCTAGACCCACTATTAAAATGCCATTTTAAAGTTGTACAGCTGAATTCTTTAGAATTGGGTTGAATGCAGAGTTGTGTTCATGTATTCCATGTATTCCAGTTGCCTCAGCAGACTCTGAGGGCCTTTAGATAAGAACTTTAAGAAACTTGTAGAGAAAAAAGCTTTTGATCTAGGTGAGGGAAATTTTGACCCAAGATCTTGGTGTGTCAGTTAAAAAGTGCCGCTGAAGAAACAGATGCTGGAGCAAGTAGTGTGCTTGCCTTCCAAGTGGCCATCTGGGTTTGATCCCCAATGCTCCATATGGTTTCAAGCCCAGGAACAAGCCAGGAGCATCACTGGGTGTGGCCCAAAAATGAAGAAAAAAGGAGGAACTAATTTATTCCCATCCATTCAGTGATGGAAATGAATCTTGACACTTGTTTTAGTTTTTAGTGAGCAAGACTTGGAAAAGTACATGGGTCTCTCCAGAGTGGAAAAAGCAAGCAGAGACAGAGAGACAAGAAAGCATTTAGTGTGTTCGGGGGAGAGTACGGGTTTGAAGAGCAAGCCTTGACACTTTTTCTAAATTTCATCTCCTAGGGTGCCTGGGCTGACTCTCCTATGTGTTGCCAATGGTAAATGTCTGAATGTTTTCACTCAGTCGTAGTGCAATAGGCATAATTGGACTGCAGATTTCCTTTGCACATCAAACTAAGTTTTACATGTCCTTTAGTAGGCCTATTTTTGGACTTTCTTAAAATTTTCGATTCAGAAACAGTTGGCTTGGAAATTTGTAGCAATCTTGTCAAGAATACAGGGAATAAATTCCTTTGTAAGGAACAAATTCCTTAGAGTTTTATTAAAGACTAATCTCATGTAACATAAAAGATATATTAAGTAAAGTATTAGGCATTTTAAAAGTAGGTCTGTTTTAATCCACAAAACATTTGTGTGGATCACTTTGCAACAAGCTTACTCTTGATAAAATTTAGTCTTCATTCTCAGCTGTTGCAGGTTAAAACTTGTGCAGTGATCCATTTAGGGGATAACAGGTTTTGAAAAAAGGTTTATATTTGCTCTTCAGCCCAGTATGAAACTTAAACACTTCGTTATCAAGATATTAAAATCAGAGAAGGGGCCTTAGAGATGACAACCAATTTCCATACAAGAGGTGATAGAAAGTGAGGTGTTACTTTTTTTTTTTTTTTGTAACATTAGAATTGAGCTAGCCAAATTTCTATTCAGGTTTCTTGTTATCTGCTGTGGACTGCTTCTGGCTGCATCTGACTAGCCAAAACAGAAGTCTTTGGGTCAACCTTTCTGTTGTGAATCTAGGAAATCAGAATCAAGGCTGCCTTTCAAAAAAAGCATCACTTGCAGATCTTTACCTGCATAAGGTGCATTTCCATTGAACTCAAATAGAATTGATAAGTTAGAAAATGCTCTATTCAAAAACTAGAAGACACCAGTACAGACAGTAAACAGTGAAGTACTTAACTATATCTGGCATCCAATGAGGTGTAAGAGGGAAGATTCTCTGCTACTCATCAAATGCACATTGGTGGCTAATGTGAATTCAGCAAAGTGAATTAACTTTATAGATGTATTTGCATAACATTTTAAATAGCTCTCACTGATTTTAAATATATTTTTAAAAAGTTGATTACAACCCCACTTTTTTTTTAAGCAGGGGGTACGGGAGGGCGACAGGCTTGTAGCACTTTTTTTTTTTTTTTTGCTTTTTGAGTCACACCTGGCATTGCACAGGGGTTACTCCTGGCTCATGCACTCAGGAATTACTCCTGGCAGTGCTCGGGGGACCATATGGGATGCTGGCAATCCAACCCGGGTTGGCCGAGGTTGGATTCCCAGCATCCTACCCACTGTGCTATTGCTCCAGTCCCTTGTTGCACATTTTAAATTTGATTGTATGTGTATGTGCCTTGAAAAGAACTAATCACAGCCAGGGAAGTAGCTCAAAAGTCTGGAGCATGTGCCCAACTTGTAAGAGGATTTAATTTGATCCCTGGACTAAATGTTCTGGACTGGCTGGTTGTGGCCCTGATGGCCCAGCACTGATGGGTCAGGGCAGTACTGCATTGCAAGGCTGGAACTCGGAGCCTTAAGGCCTGCACAGCTAGACCTACATCCCAGGGAAGGGACCCATAACTCTGAGCATGACTGGGAGCTCTTTTCCACTCAGAGGAGTCATCATGAAGTATCTTTCATTCAGCCTGTACTTGTGTTTCCCTGAAATGTTGTAGGTGTTTTATCTGATTAGTACATTGTGTTTTTTAACCCTTAAGAATTTAGGAGCTTTTATTTTCAGTTGAGGAAGTTTAAAGTATGCAGAAAGGAAGAAATGCTTTTTTTCCATACTTCTTTTCAAGTGTTAATGTTATCTGCCTCATCACTGCCCTTCATTCCCCTTCCCCAACCTATTTCTGAAAAATATAAATAAATTTAGAAAAGGACTCTTAGGGCTTTTTCTTTCTTTTTTTCCTTATTTATTTATTTATTTATTTATTTATTTTTGAGACACTCTAATTTACAGTAATGTTAATATATTTTTAAAAGATCAATGCTGTTAATCATGCTTTTAATTGATACATCATTCCAACACTACTTGCCCCATCAGGGAGCCTACTTCCCCACCCCAGTGTTCCAGTAACTCTCACCTCCAGTCATCTCACATGGAAGCTCAGTTTTATAGCCACAACTTCAATTCTCATGACTTTGACTATTGTTCCCTTACTATGTACCTTTTCTATCTCATTAACTCTCTCCGCCCCTTCCCCTCTCTCTCCCTCTCAGTGTATGTGTTGACACCTATACTCATATCAGTTGATCACTTAACATCCCAGTACTCATCGATGTGCTCTAGCATGCGCCAGTAACATCTCCATTTGTCCCTGTAGCGTGCTAGTGTAGCCCAACGGCGTCTGCCTGCTCCAGGGACACAAAGAGCCTTGGTCTTGATGAAGAAGTCTGACCTACTTGAAGGTGGGTTGCCACACGGTATTTTGACGTCCCATGGAATCCAATCAGTAATGGCTCTAGTTCAGCAGTTGTCTACAAATCGCATTACATTTCCAGCCCATCTGATTTTCGATGCCTTGGCAAACGGGACAGTGTCCCTGATTCTTAACCGTCAACGTAGATCAGAACTCCAGATTCTTTCATTTAGTGAAGTGTGATACTCCAAGCATATAGCTCTTTTTATTCCTCTTTGGTAGACCCAAATTGTTTTCTCATCCTGTTTTTGTAAGGCCCAGGTCTCTGAGGCTTATGTTAATGCAGGAAGAACAGTGGAATCGAAGACATGTGCCCAGAGCCGGAGGTTCTTCAACCTCTTACCTATTTCTTTGACGCTCTAGAAGGCATTTCAAGGCACTCTTTCTCCTGAGCAGCTCAGGTGCCAGGTCATTCATCATGTTGACTTCTCGACCTAGTTACACATGACAGTTGCATTAGGAGATATTCGTTCCATTGAGAGTGAATGGAACGTCAGGAGCGAGATTTTCTGATAAACATTGTCTTCATGAGATTCAGCTGCAGTCTGACCTTTCCACACTCAACGGTCGAAGTCGGGCAGCATTTGTGCCACTTGGCTAATGTTTGTTGTTATTAGAACGATGCCAGCAAAGCAGAGGTGGTGTAGTTGCTGACCGGCTATCTTCACTCCCATTCCAGTTGTCACATGATGTTCTCGAGGGTAGCACTGAAGAGTTTTGGTGAAATGGTATTACTTTGCCAAATCCCTCTCTTGACATGGATGATCACTTCCTTGTAGAATGGTGAGATCCTGGTAGTGAATCTGTAATACAGTTCATGGAGGATCCTGATGTATTGAGTTTGAACACCCTGAGTGGCTAGGGCTTCAGTGACTGCTTCTGTCTCAACAGAATCAAAGGCCTTCTTTAAATCAATGAACGTTAGAAAGAGTGGCATCTTGAACTCCCGAGAAACCTCAATGAACTTGGATATCATGTGGATATGGTCAATGGTGCTGAATCCTTTTTGGATCCCGACTTGCTCACATGGTTGTCCTTCATCTAGTGTTCTGCCAATCCTATTCAGGATGACTCGAGTAAATAGCTTGTAGATGGCAGACAACAGGCAGATCAGGCGATACTGCCAATGTCGTGGCTGTCTCCCTTCTTGTACAGTCCTGCTGGTTTTCCATTGGGACAGAACCTTGCATTCAGACAGGTAGCGTGTTAAGAGCCGAGCCAATGTATTGATGAGTACTGCCAACACGTTCTTCAGGTGTTCGGGTCTGACCTTGGCCGGGTGCTATTTGCTTCTTTATTGTTGAAATTGTGTGTTGTACTTCGGAAGGAAGAACATTGGGAACAACATATCCATCCTGCGGAATTTGGTATGTGGGCAGGTGGACATGGCTTATCGAAGAGATCCGAGTAGAAGTCATGGATAATCTTCTCCATTGCCCTTCTGGAAGATGTGATATATCCATCAGGATGTCGGAGGGCAGTCATCTTGCCCTGTAGTTGGCGAAGGACAGGCAGGCATTGCAAATGCTTTTCCCGGCTTCTGCCACATCTACCAGCACTGCTGCTCTTCTCTCTTTGAGGTCTTCCTTTATTGCTTGACTGCACTGCTTTGTGAGCCAGGACATTTGCTTGTGGTTGGGCTGAGGCTTGCGCCGAGCCACATTAGCAAATGAGCTCGATTTTTCGAAGACAGGCATCTTTTTTGTCGCTATCGGTGTTCTTCGCACAATCATGGAGGTGCTGAATCAGG